CATTTAAAGAACTTTATTTTCAGTTTTAGCCAAAATAGCTGACCTCTGTTATATATGTTAGTAGCAAAATACATATTCTCACACACAATCACACTGAGAGGTCCCTGTTAAATCTGAATAAGGGCTAGACGGCAGGGACCTTTTCTATGCCTGACCTTTTCTCACCTTAAGCTAGCCACTATGATCTTAAATGAATTCTTGAACCTCTTTATTTTCTATCTTCCAGTTATATCAATCCTACCTCTCATCACTGTGGGATTTATGTATTTATCTAATGGTTATTAAGCACTCAGAAAAAGAAAAAGGCTATTAATTTTGGTTATCACACTTTTTCCTTTACAGTGTAAGAGAAATGGGGCAGCGGGGGGGCGGGGGGTGGAGAGGAAGGTGGGAAATATAAGACCCCATGCTCGGGGAATGGAAGCTCTGTCTTTCTGTATCGTTGAATTCCTTTCTAAGGATATGGACAAATGTGCACTTGTAGTCACTTGAAATAAGAGAAAAAAGCTTCTGCTTGAAGTGTGCTGCAGCTGTTATGCTATAACTGTTATGTCCTGTAGTGAGTTAGCTATATCATCCTAACTTTCACTGGGTGGAAGCAGGGGTAAAGTCAGGGAGGTTTAGCTACACTTTTACTGCTACAGAACCATGCAGATGTAATAGTTGCATAATAGCAATACAATCAAAATGTCTGTCTACACCCTAAAACAGTGACTCTCAGCCAGGACGCCCTGAGATCCTTTCAAAGGGGCTACAGGATGCCAGAGTGTTAGCACTGCTGTGTGGACAAACATGACTCACATGATAAACCCAGAGATTTTAACTAGGAATCTGTAGTGTTAACATGTCCTGCTTTGTTGCAGTCTTTCTGAATTCTTTGCAACTGAAGAGTTGCTCTATTATTTTTCTGTAGTCAAAAGAAAGGGGGGGAGGAAGTAAGCTGGCATTTTTGAGGGTTACCTCAAGTCTCTCTAGAGGTGTCACAGATCTAAAAAAGTTGAGAACCACTGCTTTAATTCTTCTGTTGAAGGAATCGGGTTCCTCCCACCATGAAAAGGCTGAGGGGTCTAGCTCTCACATTTAGAGAGCTTGGCAGAAGGGAAGCTGCCAACTCCACTTCATTCCACGTTGCTGCTTGCCCTCCATACCACAGATTCTGACCTGTGGCTGCTCCTAAAGCTTCTTTAAAGAGAATTCTATTCAGAAAAACAGGTGGGAAAGGAACACAATTATGTAAGCCAAATTTTAAAAGCTGTATGTCTATATTGGATATCTAAATACAAATCTGGGCCCTAAGTAAAACAGTGGATAGATTTAAGAGATGCTGATCGTAGGATTATTAAAGAATAACATGAAGAGGAAGATACACTGCTGGCCCCTGTATCCTCCCAAGAGTTTATCCGCAGCAGTTCTCTCCCTGTTGGGCACATGTAAAGGGCTCTTTTGATCCATTTAAGCACATTTCTCCAAAAGCTGTTCAAGATTTTTCTCAGGGATTTATCCATTATGTAGTCTGAAAGGCAGTTGCATATGACCCAACTGTGGCATCATGTGTGATATAAAAACATATGCTTAGCTGCAGTTTGCTACAACAGTTCTTAATCATATGTGGGGAAAGTGCATTTTAAATTAAACACTATTAAAAAGACCAAGCTTTTAGGCATATCAGTGACAATTCACACACAAAGTGAATAAATTAACAAAAGTGTATAAGCAATTATAAAAGTGATTATATGTACTCAGTAAGAAAATTCTGCACTATTAACACCCAATAAGAAGCACTAACAGATAGTAATTAGTCACAAACCTTAAACTAAAAATATTCAATACTGTTCATTTAGATTAGTTAAGACTTTATACAATACAAAGTGAAGCTGAGTCACATCACATTTACATAACTTGCTCTGGGTAACTAGATATTCTCCACTGAGCAACAAGTTTGTGCAACTTTGAAACTAAAGGTGGGAGTGCGTCCAGGAACTAGATCCAGTAAAGGATTTAAGTACCTTAAAGTTTCTTGCAGAGTGGAATCCAGGCTCCCTGTACAATGCACAGAAGAGTAAGGCATCTCAGAATCACATCCAAAATGGCCAGCACACTAATCAGAAAGCCACCAAAGAAAGCACAAACCTTCCTAGAGTTAGCTAGCTGAAAACTGAGTATAGAAATCTTGCCCATCTCAGAAAAGTCCCTGTACTGGGATCTGTAGCTTGGAACACTCTCCTTTAAGTAGGCACTTACAGCTATTCTTTCGAAGAACTGGGAAGGGCTGACTTCTTAACTTTAAAATACTGCCAGAGGACGTCATGGTATATAACACCTCTTATATAACAGCCCAACCACTTGCCTTGGAAGTCTGAGACCCGCATCCAATTCCCTCCTTAGCCTGAGAGGGCTTAAATGCACATCTCCCATCCCTAAGAATGTCCTAACCACAAGGCTTCTTGCTATTTTGAGCAGAAGTCTTCTTGTCCCTTCTCTTGAAACTTTACAGCTGTTCAGAAAAAAAAAGTATTTCAAGAATCACCAGGCCAGAAGGAGAGCACAAGAGGGAGCATAACCGTGTAACATAGGGTTAGGGAGCCTTGAGGAGACTCAGCTGCGAGGAAGGAGCCTTGAGGTTCAATCAGTATTTCATCCAATGACTGTTTGGTGTAATATACGGAAACTATGCTGGGAGTAGGGACTGGATCAAAAAAAGTTTTGGACTGGGTCAAAAAATATTGGGAGTAGGAACTGGATCAAAAAACATTGTTTTTGGAATCAATGACTTCTCTCACTCATGTTATATAAAAGTCAATCAGTAGGCCAAAGTACAGCTCCAAGAATGACTCCCCATCTTGAGGGACTTTGGGATCTAAAAACTAGGTGTTCCTCCACCAGTCAGGGTAGGTGTGAGCTTGTCATCCAGCTGCTCAGTCCTGTCGAGACTGGGCACTTACAAAGCCTTAAAGTAAACAGTAAGCTATCTTACTGGTGAGTGTTGGTCCCTCCAGTGGTCAGTGGCAGCGGCATGTCATTCTCAGGATAACTCTTGCAGACTTCAGTACTTCAACCCCACTTTAAGAACCTGAAACCTTTTAATGCGACTTAGAAGTATGGGTCCCATGGGTAATCCTAAATCACTGAGATGCTTTTCCAGATACTGGCCTTTAGCTGTAAAGCCAGCAGCAACCAAAACTAACACCTATATAAAACCTTATATTCTTTTGCTTAAAAGTGAAGAAAACCAGTAGCTTATAGACTTCTGGAAAATGATATTTATATCTGATCTGTTTAAATTAACAAGTTCATTAAAACATGTAGTACGATATACTCCTTCCCCATTTATAAAGAACACAGTTCTTGCAACCTCAAACTATTTCGATAAGCAATTAATTTTCAAGAAAGATGTGCCCATACTGTGCAAGTGTCAGATAATACAGGACATAAAAGCCATTTTCAATTACTGACATGTAAGTAGAATCAGCTCTACAAAAGATTTTCCTATTTCCTATGCAACTCCAAGCATAAGAAAATTAGAAAGTAAAAAATATCACTATTAGTCCAGAATTATTTCATATACAGTAGGTGTTGCTTTAATTGAAATGCATATTCCTTATTTCAGTTAGTATATTAGTTATTGTAAAACTTACCATAACATTTAATTTTGCAATTTTAAGTCCACTGTTGTATTCATTACTAGCTATCTAGTCTCAGGAAAATAAATTCTGTATGACTGCATAATTCTTTGTTTGACTATTTCTAATATATGAATTATTTTGCATAAAACATAAACAGTTTTTCACATCACGGCAATGGTCTACCATGGAGCTCAAATCAATGCATCAAAACATAACATGGCCTCAGCTCCACACAAGTACCAGTAATACACTATATCTGCTGTTGAGATGTAATAATAGCTGTTACTTTAGTGGCAACTGATGTTACACAAGTATTTGATCCTAATCCCAAAGAAATACCACAGTTGCTTTACATATAGTTTATTTATTCCTCCTCTAAACTGTGGTTGATGCCACTCTGTATATTGATAAAAGAAACAGCAGGTTCCCTCATGTCCAATAAGCCATTCTTCAGGGTTAATGGAATAACAGTTCAGTAATTTCTTGCTTGCCTACTGCTACCCTTAGTTTAAAGAATAACATCAAACAGTGTCACAGGCACATAGTACCGTTTGCCAACATAACGGGCTACCACTCTACCAACAAGCTTCAGTGCTCTGCTTCCAGTAAATAAAGTGGAGAACCTGAATGTAGCAGGACTCGCGCCAGCTGGCTGAAAGCTTGCTTGGCAGAGTCCCTGAACAGTCGCCAAGAGGCAGAGATTTAAAGGAAACCCGGGTCATTTTTTTAAGAAAAACCAAATAAATAAGCATGGGATCTAGAAGTCAAAGCCTAAATTAATAGTGTATATATCACATTTATGCATCTTGGAATATATAAAGGCGCCTCCCTCGAGCAAGGAGCTGCTTGCTTTGCTGGAAAGGCTTAAACATTGCTTTCTGCAGGGATAACTCTCTCTCTTTGGAGAGGCAGGAAGCAATACCAGTTTAGTGGTGTTTGCAGGAACAAGAGGAGTGACTTTTGTTCAGTTTGGGGGAAAGCAAACTCAGGTCTTACTAGCTCTGTCAATCAACACATGCCTCTCAACTTCGGGTAAATGGAGGGGGGAGCGGGTGCAAGGAACTTCATTTTCTTTTGGAAAAGCATTTGTTAGGGGGTGATGCACACCTTTATCACCACCGCTCGCAAACCAAAGGGCTCTGGCTGCCACGAGCATGCCCAGCCTCTTCATTTCGCACACAAGTAGGAAGCAAGAGAGAGCGGGCTGGCTAAAGAAGTCACCTGTCCCTCTGCTGTGACCTTTCAAAAACTTGTGGCTGGTCCGAGCGGGACAAGCTCGCGGCTCCGCGGGGCCAGCAGGGAGGCCGCCGACAGGCCCCAGCGGGCGGCCCTGCCCAGACTGCACCAGGGGGCGGGAGGCGCGAGCGGGGCCGTTACCTCGATGTAGGGCACCACCTTGCAGGAGAAGTCCTCCAGCAGCCACTTCTTGGTGAGCTCCTGGAAGATGACGAGCGGGAGGCAGAAGAAGAGCACGAGGAAGTCCCAGAAGGCCAGGTTGGCCAGCAGGGAGTTGGAGATGCTGCGCATGTAGTAGTTGTGGCACACGATGCACATCACGGCCATGTTGCCCAGGATCCCGGTGCCGAAGATGACCACGGACAGGCACATGACGGCGTAGGCGCCGTACGACTCCGGGCTGAGCGGGTAGAAGGGGTTCCTGAGCCGGGCTCGCCG